TGTACATTATCAAGCAGACTGTTATGCAGATTTTATAACGCTATAATAACTAAGCATTTTATTATAGAAGGCCATTAGAAAGCAAGTTGTTTGAATAACTCACAGCTCAACTGGTATACATCCATCTTTTGAAATCAAATGAAATGAAATGGGGTTTAACGTCCTACTGTTCTGCTCCTATACTGGGCTAATGAAGACGGGCATACGCCATACAGTGTGCTATGAGGGAAATTTTGCCCGGACAGCGGCACTACGGCCTACTCTTATATCGAATTCCAACTGTCAAGGGATCTTTTACGTGCACGCCAATGTGTACACGGGACCTCGGTTTTTCGTCTCATCCGAATGACTAGACAGCTGTCCTTGTCAGGCCCTCCGTCCTGCATCACTGACAAGGGGAAACCACGCCGGAAAATCTGGATGAACTTTCTCGGCCAATGCAGGGATCGAACACATCCATCTTTTAAAATTCAGGCCAACTGTAAGTGTATTGTTGTAGTATTAATTTGACAATATGTTTTTTTAATAGAGATTTAAGAATAGAGATTTAGCTCTTTTAAACAATTTGTGTTGTGCTGGGAAAAGGTCCAACACATGTGAACCCTTTCAACGAAACATAGCATAAAAACCATTCCATATACTCTTATGGCGCACAGTAAATACGGCATTTAACAGATGACAATTCAGTAGAAATTAGAAATAACAGAAAAGAAAATGTTAATTCCAATTCTCCACTAGTTAAGACGTATCTTTAAACATATATTATGCAAGAGCTAAATTTGCCTATTGCAGGTCTTTCCTTAGGCCTGAAATGTTATCTAAATTAGACATTAATTAACTGTAACTTATCCTGACCATAGATATTTACTGGATTTGAATGTGAAACCGATTTGCTGCTCAACGCTTATTGATGATTTAATCCAAAAATTGAACATCGAGAACATTTTTTATCGTACCTACTTTAGTAACGATATTTGATATGTATGTATCGTAAAAAACTTGCTACATGTATATACAGGTTCCCCATCCTACCACCCCCCAAAAAGCAAAAAGAACAAAAACAACAACACAAATCTGTAAACAACCCTTTGGCGGGAACGGGGATGCTGGATTAACTGGAACACTTTCTACATTCACGATTCGTCAGCCAAATATAAACTAACAATATAGCACGTGGTAATGGTATTCCAAAAGGAAAGTTTAGAATTATCAAATTGAAATTTATCCCAGTTTTCTAGGTTTTGTGTATTTTACTATTGCACTAACTATTAGTCGTTGAAAACAATATTTATTTATTGTTAATTACATGTATTTATCTTTCTTCATTAACACGTGTTATATCTAATACCGAATATATAAGTCGTTTCTGTATATATACATGTCACGAAGATATATATACAAAGGTATACAAAAACGTCCCCAATAAGTGTTTAGTTGCATTTTTGTGTTTTTAATAATTGATTAAGTAATTTAATACTTTGGAATGTATAAATTGATTATACATTTACGTTTGGTGTTCCTTAAAATGTTTTTGAATTATGTAAAGAAGGAAAGGACCAAAATCTACGATGAAAGAATTTATATATGCTGGGCAACAGAAGAGAAAGTGGTTTTCGTCTTCAACGGCGTTCGCTGTGCAGCATGTACAAATTCTATTTTCACGATCGGTTCATATATAACGCCCAATTTCTACATTCAACCCTCCTGTATATTGCCATTTGGTATATATAAACAGCACCACGTCAGTTTTAGAGACTCGTGGTTGAATTATTTTGTTTATAAGAAAAGAAAATGTTAAATTCAAATTGTTCTGAATTATTATCCATTTAATGTCATATTTGCTCAATAAGGATGGGTTTTTTCACCTGTGCCTTATGAGAGTATACATTGCTTAATACGTTTAATGTCATATTTTCTGTGCGCATGTTTTGCTCATTTAGGATGTTTTATTTTTCACCCGAATCAATTGATGTATTGTAAAGTAAATATATCTTGTACGGCTTTTAGAAATATACTAATTGAAATGATATGACATGAGTTTCTTGGAAGGTCAAGTTTAGACATTTTTGTTCAAATTTAAATATTTAAACATTAGATAAATAATATTTTAATATATTGTTAACACTTGGTCACAGATTGAATCATTTACACATTAGATAATGTTTTAATATATTGACAAAGCCTGGCCACCGTTTGAAAGATTTAAGGAAATGCATTTAGTATTGATGTTTGCCGCATGTAAGGATGTTAGTGTGAATTTTTGTATTCATTTGAATATTCGCTAGGCTTTCGCATTATCTCTGTCAAACAGATTCGACACAAAGTATGTCATTTTTATTTCAATATTTCGCTTGCTTGTAGGGACCTTTTTTTTAAAACAGAAAAACATTTGCGCTTGGCATCTACCCTAACCAGATGCGGAATATCACGATCCACCTTGCTGCGGTAAATATATAACTCTATCAGTATCAAGACTTCTGTTTTTAATTTCATATCTCTACTAAATAGTTAATAGAAGAAATAGTGTTACAATATCTTATAGGTAATTCTCCTGACGTTAGTATCTCTACTAAATAGTTAATAGAAGAAATAGTGATACAATATCGTATAGGTAATTCTCATGACCTTAGTAGTTTATTATAAAGCCGATTTCGTCAGGCTGTGTCATAGTACAAAAATGGATTTCATCTTATACAGTGTGTCGTCCTGCAAGTATTCTTTCCTACTGTGGACTAAATAATTATTTCCTAAATTTCTTGATAAAAACTGTTCACAATTCATAGCTATTTCTACGTGCACTGAACAAGGGTTGGTGTCAATCAGACCGTCGGATACTGAACAAGGGTTGCCTTTATCAATTATCAATCAGATACTCCACGAAATACCTGTACAAGGAAGCGAGTTATTTAATTAGGAGATAAACACCGACTGTTTAGAATTTAGAGGACTGTTATTGTCCATTTGATACCGCTTAAATCATTAGAGGCCGAAATCGCGTAGCGATCGAGCGCTTCTAATGAAAAATTTAAGCGGTATCAAATGGACAATAACAGTCCGAAAAATTCTAAACAGGAGGTGTTTATCGATATTGTAGCCCAAAATATTTAACATTTTTCTTGGAATTCTTTCTTTCGCGATAGTTGACGGTCGTTTTTTGGTTTTAATGACGTAAATACCAAGGAAAACAATTTTGACGTCATGAAAATATCCGTGACGTAATAAGATAAACACTCGTTTCCATTCTATTTGGTTCACTAAGCGACTGGTTAATTGTGTCTGTTTGGAAAGGGAGGTCACTCTGCGATATTTTTAAAGATCGAAACAGAAAAATCGTAAGTGTATTTTATGTACTTTTTAAATGATTTTGAACTCCAGCAGTGACTAGGTTCGAAACAAATTGCATATCGTGTTTGATAAATGTCGATACACTCGTGTGACCGTGTAGATATATGCTGTGTAGCGAACGCATGTGGTTGCTATGCTTGTTTACGTTGTCATTTCGACGCTGTGAATGTGATTGTTTTTCTTCGGAAAAAAACATGGCCTGTATGAAAATTAGTCTCTGTCCTATTCATATCAGTATCAGCCCGACTTGTATATTTTTAAAAATATATTACGATCCATACGGAGTTCAATAAATTGTAGTATTTTTATTCACTTGTTGAAAATCTTCGATTTTGACCAGTCTGATTATGATAGAATGACCATAGCAACCGTTATTGTCAGACCAGCCTTGAAATTAAATTTACTTATTATGCTTCAAATACACTCACTAACTTTGTTTTTTATGTGTTTCAGGTGAGTGTGTCAATAAGCCAATGGTTGAATTTCACTGTTGATGACATACAAGAAAAAATTCATGAAGATTTCCAAGAATAAAGTTTTGAGGTGTAGAATTTTTGACCACTGCAAACAGAGTCTAGCACCCAGAAAATATTCATTCGCAGTGAGTCGCCCAGGAAATTTAGAGGACTGTTATACTCATTCGGCGCCACTTTTCGACCAATCAGAATTCAAGAAATTACCATTTTGGGCTACAATAAATATTCAACACATGTTACACTTTAATCACCTCAATCTGTCAAATAATACAAAACGTATCTCAGTAACGAACGCCATTAATTAATGTAGATCGATACTCAATAATCAATCCCAGTGATTGTGTTGATTTAAATTGCTGAAATGATTTGACTTGACAACCTTGTGTTAGGTCGTGTTTGAGACTAGGGCTGTTTCGAGCAAATCAGATTAGTTTCAATTGAAGTCTCTCTTTGTTCCTTTTTAATGTTATTTAAAAAAACCTGGCCGAACTATCGCGTTCTATTTGACAACATATTTGAGAGATGTGCAATAAAATGAATGTTTCCCTCAGAACTGAGTTGGGTTGTTTTCCAAAGATAACCTACTAAATTCAATTCGTATCTTGTTGGCTAAGAGGGGGCTTAGTAATATATCCACTGCATTATATTAATAACTAATGTAGACGTCACAGCGTTTTACCTAATAAGGTCTCTGTTGCTGTCTTTTCATGGGGTTTGAATGCAAGCCAACATGTACTTATTATGCAGGCTTTATAACGCTATATAACTGCGCATTTTATTATTGAAGGCCATTAGCAAGCTCGTTGTTTGGGTGAATAGCTCGCAGCTCTATTGGTATATATCTGTTAAAATTCAAGCCAATCGTAAGTGTATTTTTCTATTATTAATTAACAATGTTAGATATCGATTGAAAAATGTGAACGGCTATACGTTGTCCCTTGCCAGTTGAACTTTCTTGGGCAATGCTGAGATGGAACGTCTCCAGGTCATGTGTTACAGTCAATATATCACCGGCGTGTTTGGGGGGCTATTCTGGTTCGAATATGCACCCAGGTGATACATATGTACATATGTAATATTTCATACATATGGATGAGCTAGGATTGGGGGTGTATAGCTCATTACTGGAGAAGTATTCTGGTGAAGGCGGTCACTGTTCATTAAAAGTCCAATTCCAAATTCATTTCAATATTACTTTATATACAGTTTTAAAAATACATTATTTACAAATTATATACAAGGCATTCGATCTCCTTGTCTGTGTGTCTCTAATTTCATCTGCCCTCTTGTCTGTGTGTAGAGGTCTTTTAAAGTAACTAATTTGTATACAGACAAAAGGACAATGATTTCAACAAATCAAATTAAAGATAAAAATATTGTAACACATCAAATGAAAAGAAGTTAAATAAATATATAAATTTCATTGGTTGAAAGTTTCATAGTGAAATATAATTTATAGGATCTAATAAGCTTTAAGCCATAAAGAATTAAAAAGCATTGACACTTGATTGGCATTGCTCAAGGTTTCTCTTAATAAGCCCACTGGCATCCAAAGATTATAAAACAGTCAAAGCCAATCATGCTTTTAGGCAATTACTTTTTATAGACTTTAAATCAAAATATTAACACTAAAAGTAAAGAAAGACCAAATGATAACCTTACTTTTAGCTATATTGTCTATATACTTTAAGAAATAAATTCTGTATATCCTTAAAATAAAATTTGAAAAAGAAGTAGAATTTAGTATCACTATTCGGTGATAAATGCCCCCATCCTGAAAAATTCATGCGTCCTCGCATGATATATATATACACAATATACTTGATGAAATTATTAATAATTATATAAAAGAAAAACATATGCTTATAATTAAATATTTGTATAAAATTTTGTATCACAATATATTAAGTGAATTGTGCTGTTATATGATTATACAGGCTAAAGTCCCTTAGGTAATCCTTTGTTGTCGCCTTATGTATAATACATTGTTGTCACAGACATAAATATCACTTGCAATAATTATGAAAAAAAAAGTGTTTTAAGAATGCAAAATTCCAAATGCAATGATTTTCAGTCAGAAATGGAACTGAATATAAAGATAAATGAAATTTAAAAAGTTAATGGTAATTAAGAGTCACATAATAACATATAAGCACTATGATGAAGAAAGTTTCTGCAATTTTTAAAGTCTGCACCCCGGAATATTTATTATTTGTGGAAATAATTGATCGTTTCAAATGCAAAACACATACACATTAGATATTACCATTATATAAACATAACTATAATGATTCCACCGCACTTATATACACCCAAATTTAATCAGGAACACACTTTCAATCTTTAGCAATTTCTGGAACTTAATTTACTGGATCAGGGATTACGATTGTAAGGTCCGCCACACTCATCTTATTGATCTAGCACATTTTGTTGTCTGGATACCTTGAAGTTTATCTGGTGATGAACCATGTGCTGGTACTTCTTCTTCTTGACATTGGAGAAATCTCACTTGGTTTGACAAAGTCAACCTTGTCCAGGATTGAAGATATCAGCTTCAAGCTTCTTTGGTCCAGTCTGTTATCAGAGATGTTGCTCAACAAGATTAAACCTGAAATATCTCTCGACCATCTCATATAATAACATTCAATGTGTGGCAATAAATCAATAATATTAAATAATTTTGAATCAAAAGAATGTGGTCATTCCCTGTACTCAACCTGACTAAAATGTAATACCAGTCTCACTTTCCGTTCCAAATATAATCATGTATGTCTTCAACACTGTCAAATTGTCAAGACTGTGCAAAAGCTCAGATAATACTCTATTCTTTTTATTCATTTTCTCATAAGTATATATTATTCAATATTTTGGTTATTATTATGATCATTTCTTATTCTTATATGATCATTTCTTATATCATGAACATTTCTTATATCATGAACATTTCTTATTCTTATTTTATGATAATTTCTTATATGATCTAATTTATTTTCCTATTCATTCTCATATATTATTTATCATCTAATATATTGTCACATGTTATCAATTCTTTTATTTAATTTCATGTTATAATTATTAATCAAAAAAAAAATTGGGGGGTATATTTCACGAAATGTGAAAAAAGAAACCAATTTATATTTATATATATACATATCATTCAATATAATAATCATATTCAAAACTTCTATTTTATTACATGAAAAACATAGTAGTGTTGCTATTATCTTATGGTTAAAATTAAAAGAACAAGGTCTATGTGGTCTAATCAAACTTTGTAAAAGTTTGTAAAATGATTACACAGTGCTTTACACATTGATCGTCACCAATATGGCACATCGCTGGCATGTCAGTCAAAAATGGATGGCCAGTCCACCTTGCCTAACAAACCTTATTATAGCTATATAACAATAATTATAAAAATAATTTAGACACACAGACCTATTTCTTTGTTAAATGAAAGTAATATAATCTAATTAATATGTGGAAATTTTGAGGGTGTCAATTTTAGTCGCTTTTTACGACACGCAATTTAACCAAACGTTGGGCCTACTCTTGTCCCCGGTCCCACAGGGGAACAAAGTCACTATATCTATTTTTCGTAATTACACGAGTTTTCTGTATATATGCTAATAACATTCACATACTTTTTTTTTTCTCTTTTTAAAATTTCTGCCCATGAATCTATATACAATCATTGTCTTGTTTTGGATAAACATAAAATATAGTGCAAAGAATATCTCTTTGAATTTCCTAATTTGAAACATGGAGAAAAATAGCAGTGTTGAAATATTTACATATTTTTTTATCAGTGGTTAAGAATTGACTTACAGAACACTTTAAATTATTATTTATATACATATTATCATTTATAGTTATAACATTAAAACAAATTGGCATACAAAATGAGTTTAAGAACTCCCTATACCTTACATCATTAATTATTAGGTTTTTATTTACAATGAAATTTTTAGGATTTCTGACTTTTGAGGAATCTTTGGAAACTACTGGTACTGAGTCTTGTCCAATACATTTTAATTGATTGACTTTCTTAATTGACAAATCATTACCAATTATTATGTCATAATTACTTGAAGTAGACCTTATGATATAAAATTTATGTAATATGATTGTGTCAGAAACTTCGAAATCAAGTAAAACAGATCCTAAAATTTTGACAGCTTGACCTTCACAAGTAATACTAACACCAGGGGTTATTTCAGATGGCAAGATTTCTGTAGTTGGTCTAATTTGATCTAACAGTGTCTCAGAGATAAAAGATATGCTTGCTCCTTTGTCAAAAAGGCTTTTAACAATATTATTACCTATAGTGACAGTTACAAAATCTTTGTTCAGGAAGGCTATAGCATTTTTATTGGTTTTCAAAGACTTGGTATTACTATCTAGTTCTTTTGAGTGAGAATAACCCATCTTAATGATTCTGACTTAGATTGAAATCAACTAGTAAATAAGTCTATTGTCAAATAAAGAATTACAATTATTGTCACACACTAAATGTAAATTTTCGAGAATGGTACAAGAAATAGTTGATTTAACTTACCAAACTAATTCTCTGATCTCATATGAACCAAATCTAGGAATCCACTTGTATCTCCAATCTGTTCTTGAATGTCCTTGTTCAAACCATTAAATCTTCAGTTGTTCTCGCTTGGCATGTAAGAAGTTCCGAGTCTTGAATCCATCTTCCACCATTATATCACCGGCGTGTTTGGGTGGCTGGATGGTTAGCGTGTGCGCGCTGTATCATAAAGTCTGTCATTGAGTCAACTGGCGTGGTTTCGAATCCCCGGTTGTACGTGACAAGGAATAGGGTCGCATGTCGAACCTCGTGGGTTTTCTCCGGGTCCTCCGGTTTCCTCCCACTGCTAAAGACCCCTACGCGCAAGCGAATTATTAAAATAAATTAAACCATATGTTAGTCCCGAAATGACCTAGATTGTGTCGAGTGGACGTTAAACCCCATTTCTCTCTCAGAAGTAACCCTTGACAACGCAGTGTTTAATAACACAATAATAATTTCGATTCTATTACCAACCCTTTCACAATATTTGAAAGAAATGTCCTCACACGAGGTGTTAATCTGTTTTTAGTTTCAATACCAATTCAATAAAACATATAATAAGAAATGTCCTGGTTTTTATTCATTAGTTATAATTTATTCATGTATTTTAAATATTACTGTTCAAGAGATCAAAACATTTCATTTTTACACATTCACCAACACACGTAGACCTAAATGTATTTTTATACGCTCACATTTTCATGTGGCCGGATATTGTCGCCGCCCCCGCCTTTCTGTCCATCCGTTCTCACTGTGTATGTTGACACTCTACTGTTCACAATTTTAATCCGATTTTGACAAAAATTGAAATATAGGTTTATACCCGATCTATCAGGGCATGTATCGGGCCATAGCTTCATGGATTATGACCAATGATTGAACGACAAATCACGTTTTTAGCTTGTGGACACTCCAGTAGTTACAATTTTTATCCGATTTTGATGAAACTGTAAAGATAGGTTTATATCCTTTTAGTTATTGCGGGGGGGGGGGGGGGTAGCACGTGCGCGGTGTATCATAAGGTCTGTCATTGAGTCATCTGGCGTGGTTTCAATTCCCCAGTTGTACTGACAAGTTGTAGAGTCGCCTGTCCAACCTAGTGGTATGTCTCCGGGTCCCCCGGTTCCTCACACTGCTAAAGACCCCTACGTGCAGGCGAGTTATTGAAATAAAAATGAACCATGTTTAGTCCCGAAGTGACCTAGTTTGTGTCGAGTGGATGTTAAACCCCACTTCTCTCTTTTTGTTATTCGCACATATCGGATGGTCCATTCCTGTTTGATCTCTAGTCACCTCTTGCAACATGTGTGCGTATGTTGCATGGCAACCGCTTGTTTAAATAGGTGTATAAACATATCTTCCACTTGCGTCTGTCGGCGTCAGCTAGTGTTGTGAAAACTCATGTTTGTGTGTGTGTGTCTGGGTGTCACTCACAGGGTGCAATTCTTAACGGAATGCCTTGCAACTTTGCATAACCCACGGATAACCCCTATAGTTTTTGGGACAGAACCACGACCTAATTTTGTATCAGTCTGTTTGTCACGTACAGGCAACATTTCTTACCGCATCGTCTTGAAACTTTCCATAGACCAAGTGCCAGTGACGAACAAACTGCCTCATAAGTAAAAGAAGATTTGGCAATGTTAATTGGCAGCTATTGTTAGTGTAATTTCAAAACACCCCAATCTTACGAGGTTTGGGTGGGGCATTTAGCTGGAAGGGGCAGATCAAAGGGCCAAGTAATATGTTTCTAAAATGTTGACATATGACGTCTGAGTTGAAAATTTCAAAATCTGACCGGAGAAAAGTAATGCCAGAAAGTGGTCTCATAAGTAACATGACACATGTATTAGTAGGTTCTAAAAATATTAAATCTGATTGGCTTTAGTGGAGCAAACTCTTAATCTGACCACTGAAATATTACTACCCACTCCACCTCAACTAGGTCACATCGGATCTGATTATAAGACACTGACATAATAGTATCAATTTGTAAAATTTTAATTCCCATTGTGTAATGAAATATGTTAGTAAAATCGGGTTGAAACCTCAAGTAGATCACATCGGATCAGATTATAACACACTGACACAATAGTATCAAAAACATCTTTCAGTTATATTATCAGATCATATTCGTTTTAATTGTAGTCTCCGTTGGTTTCTTTTTAATGTTAATAAAAACAACCCTGGCCGAACGGCCGTGTTCTAAATGACAATATATTTTAAAGATGCGCAAATTAAATAAATGTTTCCCTCAGAACTGAGTTGAGTTTCTTTTCCCAAAGATACCCTACTGAATTCAATTCATAACATACTGACTGAGAGAAGGTTAAGTAATAACTGCACTGCATTATGCGTATAACTCATGTAGAGGTCATAACGTTTTACTTAAGGAGTTCTCCATTGCTGCCTATTCATCCGCTTTGAGTGTAACTTAAAGGGCCAATCACGATTATATTTTGTGTTAAAAGCCTTTAAAATCCCCAACCTTATGGCATAGTAATTAACTCAATATACGTGATACGTATTCAAACAACTTAAAACCGTCAGCCTTCATCTGGAAATGGAGATTTGTGTTCCAAGCTGTATTATAGGTATCTGAATAAAACCAGACTTTTATTTTATAAAAATAACGTGTAGGTGAAATTTACCTTTCGTTATCATGTACAGCACCGTATGGACCTCTACAGGAACGGCAATGGATTATCAGATCTTCTTTGATTGGCATTTAGTAATTGAACATCTTGGGCAATGGCACACTCACTTTATTGTTATAGATAATCTACAGGTTGCAATTATTAACAAATGTTGTTCAATTTCGGCATAATCAAACATAGGGTAGTACCTATTTATATTAGTCCATGTCCAACACCCAGGGACAGAGCCACGCCCAATTTTTGCGTTTTTGTCTACAGACTGAATGGATCATCTTGGAACCTGCCATATTAATTTCTTATATCGTAAAGACAGCAACTATTTATTTTGGTGCATGCCTCGACCCTCAGGGGCGGTGTCACAACCACTTTTTTAAAATTAATATTTAGTCTGTGAATTTGGCAAAACAAACCCAATGCTTAGCCTTCTTTGCCTCTTGTTATATTGCAGTCGTTACGTTAAACCCCACTTCATTTCATAAAATTCATTACCTCTCCAGTTCTCTGACCCAAACATCGTTGTTATATTGATGGACGCTGTAGCTGGTGAATTTAGAATGTAACAATAACTAGATTCATAGTGAAACAAGTTACAAGTGATATTTCATTCTCTTCATTTTAAAAAGTACCATATAAATGAAAGCAGGAATGTGGACGTATAATGCAGCGGTGTCGATGCTTTAGTTGTATTACTGTGTTAACATTGAGAGAATAGTCTTTGAAACGTCGCTCAATAAATAAATAGCTGTTTTTCCATAACACTCTTGCTGGCTTGAAAGCTCCAGAAAATAAATAATATCTCTATCTAAGTACTAGATGTTAAGGTGTCCTACCTCTTGTGTAAATTATCCATTACATCCTATTTTACTTGTCCAGAGGGTTCGAAAATATTTTTAAATCGAAGTTTCATTTGAAAAGGTTTACGTTAGACGTTTCAAACCATTATGTTGAATTTTTCAAATTTTTTAAATAAGGTGTGTTAAGATGAAATTTGTATCATCAATTAATTGAAATATTCTAAAATAGTACAATTTGTTGACCAGAATAAAGATTGGACATATTATTTAGTTACAACAAGAGTGGTATTGAGCCTTTAAAGATTGTGTCTGTGGTTTATTGTACGGTCATAAATGAAATGAAATGGGGTTTAACGGCCTACTGTTCTACTCCGACTTAGCTACTGAAGATGGGCATACGTCATACAGTATGCTAGGGGAGACATTTTCCCTGGACAGCGTCGCTAAATGAAATGAAAGTCCTACTGTTCTACTCTGACGGGGCTAATGAAGATAGGCATACGCCATACAGTATGCTATGAGAGACATTTTTCCCGCGGCGCTACGGCCTACTCTAAAATCGACATTAAAATGGCAATGTATACATGATACTATTTTTGGTCCGTTACGAACGACTAGACGCGTCCGAACTGACAAGAGGAACGCATATCACAAAACCCCGAGGACCGTTCACGACAACTTCGGGATCGAACCCGGATTTACACTCACCAGTCAAGTTGATCTACCGTTGAACCCTTTAACGTGAGATATGTTTATGAATTAACAAATTTTCTGTTATAATACATTACTCGTTTCTATTCGTTTCTATTGAATTGTTTAGCAGAAGTAACCCTTGACAACGCAGTGTTTAATAACAGAATAATAATTTCAATTTTATTACCCAACCCTTTCACAAAATTTGAAAGGAATATCCTCACGCGAGGCGTTAATCTGTTTTCGTTTTCTGTTCCAATCAAACATATAATAAGAAATGTCTTAACTTTACAATTTATTACAATTTATTCATGTATTTTAAATATTACAGTTCAAGAGATCAAAACATTTCGCTTTTACACATTCACCAACACACGTAGACCTAAATGTATTTTTATACGCCCATATTTTCATGTGGCTGGATATTGTCGTCTTCCTGTCCGCCCGTCCGTCCGTTCATACTTTGAGGACATTCTATAGTTCACAATTTTATCCGATTTTGACGAAACTTGAAATATATGTTTATATCCTAAAAATCTCGGTTGCTTTCTACAAGGGCATGTATCGGACCATAACTTCATGGATGATGGCGACTGATTGTACGACAAATCATGTTTGTAGCTTGTGGACACTCCAGAGGTCACAATGAAACTGAAAAGATAGGTTTATATATTAAAGATAACCGTTCTTTTTGTTATTCGCACATACCGGACAGTACCTTCCTGGATTATATCCCCTGTCTGTTCTCTGTAACCTCTTGCAAAATATGTGGGCGTATCTTGCATGGTAGCCACTTGTTCAAGTACGTGTATAAATATATCTTCTTTTCCAGTTCTGACGTTCACAGACATTTCTATTCTTTGACAAATAAACCCCCAACATGTTAATATCCTCTTCCAAACCTTGAACACTCACATTTGAAAAGTTATCTTGTCTAGCAGAATCCATGGGTAGCAGTCCAAATTTTTCTTTGTTCTTTGTCCTACAGTAACAGATGTGTAATGCTTATTAAAGTTAATGTGTCATCTGCATCCTGATCGATGTGTGAATATACCATTACATCTAACAACTCAGACAATAACATAGAAATATGTGGGAAACTTGTAACGTTTACAGTGAGTAAAACACTAGCCGACATGTTCGGTTCGTTTACCAGAGGGTTAAAATACCAGCCAAAATTTTCGGTTCGTTTACAGTGAGTAAAATACTAGCCGGGTATGTTCGTTTACAGTGAGTAAAATACCAGCTGGTTATGTTCGTTTACAGTGAGTAAAATATTAGCCGAGTCTGTTCGTTTACAGTGAGTAAAATATTTGCCGAGTCTGTTCGCTTACAGTGCGTAAAATACTAATCAACATGTTCGGTTCGTTTACAGTCACCATTAGCCTAAACGACGAGTTAATCAAACTTCCAAAACCTGGTCTTCTTAAAATGGATTGTGACTGTTCTGTTAGAGGACATAGAGATTTACCGGAAAGGGATAAAGAAAGGAACAATTATTAAATGCAACAATTCTTTCGATCAAATTCGGCTAGCATGTTTACTCAGAATTTACTTTACTTTATTACAAGGGAAATTCCTTCCTATAGCCAACTTAGCTACATAGAATACTTATGGTACATAGAATACTTATAGTTATTATTGCACAACAGACGAGGAACATAATTATTATAGAAAAAACTGAATCAAAAAAAAAATATTTATGAATATATACTCTTCAAAAAAAGTAGGGTATATGCAGGTTGCGATATGATAAATAGCCATGAACATTTGACATGCTTTGAGAGTATGTTCACAGATGAAGAACCTATCGCGCCAACAGAACCAGTGAGCTGCACATGCGACACGCAATAGCGCCATACGCGTGGGAGGTGTGGTTCATTGTCAAATTTGAGACTTCAAGGAAGAGTTGATGACAACTGTCGTGTGCTGGTTTATCTATCCATGTTTGCTTTCCTATCGGTTCTTGCATGCGATTTACTGTTTAGCGTATCTTTGCTTTAGTGTGTTACGGTTAGTTGGATCGGGAGACGTGTTCGTCGACGTCAACGTCCACACTGCAAGAATTGGCCGTGGCACTGAAATAGGAGTGGGTCAGATTGCCCCAAATCGTGATTGGACGGTTGATTAGGAGCATACCACGACGAATTGCTGAATATCTGAGGATTTGTGGAGCAATTTCTCAATATTAAGACAAAAATCAAAAACGTCGATTTTCACTTTTGACGGTGTATCTCTTTGCGAGTGAACTGGGGCCGTCAGATAAGCCGCCCATATGAACTGTTTATGTTCATGTGTAGGCAAATGGCCTGTTATTAACATACACTGGTTACCTCTAATAAAAACAGCAGTGCATTTCCGCAGTTTTGTATTGTTTCTGAATATCCCCTAATAGATATATATATATATATATATATATATATATATATTGAATACCCCCCTAATATATATATATATGTCACGAAGATAATACAGAAGTATATACAAAAAGTTCCCAATGGGTGTTTAGTTTCATTTTTTAGGTGTTTAATAATTGATTACGTAATTTCAAACGTTGGTATAGATATGTTCCTAAATTGATTATACGTTTGGTGTTCCTTAAAATATTTTTGAATTCATGTAAAGAAGGAAAGGACCAAATTCTACGATGAAAGAATTTGCGACTTAATTTATATATGTTGGGCAACAGAAGAGAAAGTGGTTTTCGTCTTCAACGTCGTTCGTTGTGCAGCATGTACAAATCTATTTTCACGGTCCGTTTTTTATAACGCCCAGTTTCAACATTCAATCCCCTTTTGTATCGCCATTTGGTATATACACGGCACCAAATCAGTTTTAGGGACTCGTGGATAAATTATTTATACAAGTAAAATTATTTGCTAAACTATGTCAGATCTCAATTCCTGACCTGATTTTAAGATAATAATGCGCCCCAGAAAAAATGCAGCTTCTTCTTTATATTGCCATTCGGTATAAAAGCTGCACCTGGACTATTTTCCAATCTCAGCTGAGCTTTCTGCAGTTTCCCGTGATTTGTTAGACATGAAGGCCCACAGTAACTATGTGTACTATATCATATCTCCACAACAACGTTAATACATTCACGTAAAATCAATTCTGCACTTCGCTGTGATTTGTTACACATGAAGACCTTTACAAATTTCCATTGACAAGGGGCAATAACTGAAAACAATGGTGGAACACTATTCAATTCGATTACACATAGAGAAGGTCTTGGACACCCACTTGACACAAATAAGATCATTGCAGGACAGATGGTCTGACAACATACTTGCAATTGAATTCTGCATGTTGACTGAAGTACTCGTTTCCGCTCAAACGACATTTTTGCCGAAATTAACAAAAGCATATACAAGTCATCTATATGCGTGTTGAGCTATCGGGTATTCCCTAGAAATTCTGCTCATCAAGCAGGTTGATTGAGTGAATAGTTCGCAGCTCTATTGGTATACATCCATCTTTTACAATTGAAGATAATCGTAAATGTATTGTTATAATAGTAATTTGACAATATGTTTGATATTTTGTTTATATGTAGTCTGTTTCTTTTTAATGTTATTAAAAAAAAACCTGTCCGCACTGCCGCGTTCCATATGACAACAAATATATTAGAGAGATGCGCATTAAAATGAATGTTTCCCTCAGAACTGGGTTGTTTTTTTTTCTCCAAAGATATTCTACTAAATTCAATTCATATCTGTTGGCTAAGACAGGGCTTAGTAATATGTGCACTGAATTTTACTTATAACTAATGTAGAGGTCGCAGCGTTTTACTTAATAGGGTCCATATTGCTGACTATTCATGGGGTTTGAATGCAACTCAATATGTACTTATTATGCAGGCTTTATAACGCTATATAACTGCGCATTTTATTATAAAAGGTCATTAGCAAGCTGGTTGTTTTGGTGAATAGATCACAGCTCTGCTGGTATACATCCATATTTTAATATTCAAGCCAATTAATTTGACTATGTTAGATATCGATTGAAATATTTGAACGACTATAAGTTGTCCCTTGCCAGGTGGGGGTCACGGTGGCTAAGTGGATTAGGCGCTGGCTCGCTAGTCTCGAGGTCGGGTGTTCGATCCCTGGATTGGCCGCGAAAGTTCATCCAGATTTTCCAGCGCGGCTCCCCCTTGTCAGTGATGCGGGACGGAGGGCCTGACAAGGACAGCTGTCTAGTCGTTCGGATGGGACGAAAAACCGAGGTCCCGTGTACTCATTGGCGTGCACGTAAAAGATACCTTAACAGTTGGTATTCGATATAAGAGTAGGCCGTAGTGCCGCTGCCCGGGCAAAATTCCCCTAATAGCACATTGTATGGCGGATGCCCGTCTTCACTAGCCCAGTTCGGAGCAGAACAGTAGGACGTTAAACCCAGTTCATTTCATTTCGTTTCCCTTGCCAGGTGAATGGTCCTAGACCATGGACAAGGGGTAACCACGCCGGAAAATCCAGATGAACTTTCTGGGGCAATGCAGAGATGTAACGTCTCCAGGTTGTGTCTCAGTCAATATATACCGTGTTTTACAGTCAGTAAGAGATACATGCGGTATCTTACAGTTGGTCAGACAAAATGACACATTTTACTTACGCAAACCTATCAATCGAGAGAATAACAGTAATGTTATAAATTTTTATTTAAATATACAGTTGGTGTGTCTATTTACGGTCAGAATGAGATACATGTCACGTCGTACCATCAGTAACAGACACCATCTGTCCTGTTTTACAGCAACAGCAACAAATGCACGCAGTGTCTTACAGTCAGTAATATAACTTCAACGCAAGACAAATGTCTTGACTTACAATCAGCAAGATATAGACGCAGTGTCTTATAGTCTGTAATATAACTGGTGACCCCCAGGGGGAGAACCACGCCCAATTTTTTTTTCTGTTTATCGTATACATGCCGCAATTCTGAATATAGCATAACGACGCCACCAACTACTGATTATGATGCATGTCCCACACCCCAGGGGAAGAACCACACCCAAGTTTTATGTATAGCGGCTAAAGGCCACAATTCTGAATGGATTATCTTGGAACTTGATGTACTTATTCCATATACCAAAGGACGACAACTATTGATTTTGGTGGATCACCCGACTCCCTTGAACAGTGCAACACCCACTTTATTGTTAATATTTTATCTGTAAATACTCTACAGGTTGTAATTATTAACAGATTTTGTTCCATTTCGGTATAATCTAACATAGGGTTGTACCTATTACTATTGGCCCCCCTAGGGTGCAGGGGGTGATAAGAATATACCCTTCGTATGTCCTGCGTGTCGTAAAAGGCGACTAAAAGGATCCCTGTAATGGGGCAACGTGTTTGCCGTGCGTTGCGACCCGTGTCGGTGGAGAGTGGAATCCGGGTAATTGAGTGGGGATTTGGCTTGCGAGCCTTTTCTCTGCAACACATTACTTTGGCCCATGGTTCACCTAGACGGGAGGTCAGAGTGGCCCACTCTGATCAATCGGCTTTGGTCGTGTTAGTTGATGAGAAGATGATTATTTTTCTCTCTTACTGTGGTATTAGTTTAGTACAGTTAAACCTTTGCGTCCTGTAGCATATTCTCAGAAACGGCGGCTTGGGTCAATCGGATAAAGCACAAGATCTCCTCTTTACTTTGTCTGAGTATATCACTGACTGCTCTCGTCGGGCGCCAGCGCTGGATATCCGCGCAATAGCCTGTACGGATGTTGCAATCCTTGGTGATTGGGGAGCAGTCAGTGATGAATCTTTAAAGCTTATAAATGGCTTCCCAAAATAAAAAACCTCGTCCGCCGAAACGCGGACCGACAGACGATATCTTTGATATTTCTAATAAAACTTCCCGAACTTGGTATATGTTTCTGGTTCTTGAGAGTACCAATGAAACCTCATTAAGTAAACAATCTCCTTTTTTAATTGCTAAGGGTCTCGCCGGATTATCTGGTGAACCTAAAAGCGTTAAAAAAAATGAGGAATGGCACTCTCTTGGTTGAATGCGCTAAAGAGCAACACTCGTTATGTTTATTAAAATCTACAACTTTAGCGGGCATTCCAATAAAGGTAACACCTCATAATAGTCTAAATTTTTCTAGAGGTGTTATTAGGTCTCAGGATTTAGAAGGTAGTAATGAGGAAGAGATGCTTGAAAATCTCTCCTCACAAGGTGTAACAGTTGTAAAACGCATTTCCACCAAGCGTAATGGTAACATCATCCAAACCAACACCTATATCGTGACATTCAACAAACCAGAACTGCCCAAAACGATAAAAGCTGGATTTCGCTTAATTCCAGTTTCTCCTTACATACCAAACCCATTACGTTGCTTTCAGTGCCAACGCTTTGGGCACAGCAAGAATGTATCTAAGGGAAAACCAATTTGTGCACGATGTGGCCAAGATGGCCACGAAAGTGAAACATGCCAACTCCCATATCACTGTGCCAATTGCAAAGGAGCTCATTTTGCTTATTCAAGAGAGTGTCCTTTGTGGAAAAAAGAGAAACAGGTGCAACAGGTCAAAACAGAAAAAAATATTTCTTACCCTGAAGCGCGGAAATTGGTAGAGATTGCCACACCAGTGCCCTTATTTGCAACTTCGTTTGCAAATATAGCGAAGCCAAAGACCGTTTCCGTTGCTTGTCAGACCGAGTTGCCCCTGCCAGCTTCCGGGCAGACAGGATCATCGACTAAGCCTCCAATACCAAAGAAACCAGAATTTATTGCCCTCGGCACTCAGACAAGTTCGTCGTTAGTGCCAGAGGCGGCAGAGGAGATTGTGCCAGAAACTCCTCCTTCAAATGGTGGAAAGCCACCCACACTACCCCCGAAAGGTGGAAAACCACCCAAAAACTTCCCGAACTTGGTATATGTTTCTGGTTCTTGAGAGTACCAATGAAACCTCATTAAGTAAACAATCTCCTTTTTTAATTGCTAAGGGTCTCGCCGGATTATCTGGTGAACCTAAAAGCGTTAAAAAAAATGAGGAATGGCACTCTCTTGGTTGAATGCGCTAAAGAGCAACACTCGTTATGTTTATTAAAATCTACAACTTTAGCGGGCATTCCAATAAAGGTAACACCTCATAATAGTCTAAATTTTTCTAGAGGTGTTATTAGGTCTCAGGATTTAGAAGGTAGTAATGAGGAAGAGATGCTAAACCACCCAAAAACTCTAAAGACCGACCTCCAACTGCGAAGGCCGGTTCAAAACTTCTGTCCGTCCGTAGTAGGAAGGGCGAAGATGATCCTGTCCAGACCTATAATAGGGAATCAGGACAGTATGATGGATGTTGTTGTGGAGATTCACGACCCCAATCCCAAACAACAGTCAAGAAGTCCTGTTAAACATCCCTGACGATGGTCAATTCCATAATTCAATGGAACTGTCGTGGTATCAAGCCCAATTTTAATGAAGTCCAAATCCTAATACAAAAATTCAATCCATTAGCTATTTGTTTACAAGAAACACTTCTTAAAACATCTGATAAATTATCATTTAAACATTTTGTTGAATATCACCATTTTGCTACTAATGATGGTATAGCACATTATGGTGTTTCCATTATTATTAATGGAGATGTCCCACAGAGTTTCAACAAACCATGGTATAATGATGATTGCAAATCCGCTTTTAAAGAGCGTGGTCGTATTTTGAGACGACTCGAGACTCACCCTTCCATGGAAAATATTGCTGCTTACCAAATGGTCCGGGCGAAGGCCCGTAGAACCATACGCCAAGCAAAGAAATCTTCATGGCAAGGTTATGTCTCGAGGATAAATTCCCGTACCACTTCCAAATCGGTATGGGATAGGATTCGTCGGATTAAAGGTAAAAGTAGTGCATTATCAGTCAACCATCTAAATGTTGATAATACCACCTTAACAACATTTCCCGATATTGCTAATTCTCTGGACAGTTCAATCTCATTCAATTCATCATCCAATTTCTCCTCGGATGCCTTTCGAGGTATTAAGCAACAACAGGAGAAAAGGCGACTTAATTTCAAGTCCCGCAATGATGAATGCTACAACGATAACTACTCCATTGCAGAGCTCCGGGATTCGCTTAAGCGAGCTCGCGATACTGCAACTGGTCCAGATGAAATACACTACCAAATTCTAAAACATTTACCTTTTCCTACACTCTTGATTTTGTTAGATCTTTTTAACCGTATTTGGGTTGATGGGAATTTCCCTCCTTCGTGGCACAAAGCCACAATAATTCCCATCCCTAAACCGGGTAAAGATCCTACGAATCCTACCAACTATCGTCCGATCGCTTTAACTAGCTGTATTTGCAAAACCATGGAGAGATTGATCAATCGAAGGCTTGTTTGGTACCTCGAGTCCAACAACCTCATTACAGACCTCCAATGTGGATTTCGGTCCCAAAGAAGCACTCTTGATCATCTCGTTCGATTTGAAACGTTCGTCAGGGACGCTTTCATCCAGAAACAACACTTAGTTGCCATTTTCTTTGATCTGGAGAAAGCGTACGATACCACATGGAAATATGGTATCATGCGTGACCTCCATAACTAAGGTTTACGAGGTCGGTTGCCTATCTTTATTTCCAATTTCCTAGAAGATAGGTCGTTTAAGGTTCTTCTGGGATCAATTTTCTCTGACCCATTTCCTCAGGAAATGGGAGTCCCTCAGGGAAGTATATTATCTCCCACCCTTTTTTCCATCAAGATCAATACCATACCATCATGCCTTAAACGTGGGGTCGACGGCTCTCTTTATGTTGATGACTTTCAGATGTGTTACGGATCGACAAGTATGCAGACAATCGAACGTCAGTTGCAGCTTTGTTTGAATTCTATTCAACGATGGGCAACTGACAATGGATTTCGTTTTTCGAAATCCAAGACTGTCTGTATGCATTTTTGTCAAAGAAGAGGTTTACATCCTGATCCAGAGCTTACACTGGATGGCAATCCCATTCCAGTTGTAGACGAAACGAAATTCTTAGGTTTGGTATTTGATAAGAAATTATCATTTATACCCCATATAAAGAGCCTTAAGAAGAAATGTCTGAAAGCCCTTAACATATTGAGAGTCCTGTCAAACACTGACTGGGGAGCAAACCGTAAGGTCTTGCTCAGAATATATCGAGCATTAAAAAGATCCAAACTCGATTATGGGTGTATTGTGTATGGATCGGCCCGTGGGTCTTATCTCAAAGAGCTTGACACCATACACAACCAAGGACTTAGAATCAGTTTAGGAGCCTTTCGTACATCTCCAGTGCATAGTTTATACGTCGAGGCGCACGAGCCCTCATTGCACGACAGACGTGATAAACTAGCACTGCAGTATGCTACAAAAATTTCATCACTCCCTAATCATATTTCATATAACACCATCTTTAGACCCTACCACGAGCATTTATATATGCTTAAACCTAAAGTTATTCCATCATTTGGTATTCGCATTCAACCCCTTTTGTCTGGAGCTGGAATCAGCCATGACAGTATTGCGAATACCCTTTTGTTTAGGACTCCACCGTGGGTTATATCTCCACCTAAGATCGATTTCGATCTAACACAACATAAAAAGAAAGATACTAGCTCCACGGTGTTTAAGTCTCTCTTTCGAGAGCTTAGGTCTAAATATGGTGATTATGCTCCAATTTATACAGATGGCTCGAAAGATGGTGATCGGGTAGCTTCGGCTACTGTGACGCCATCTGAGACCATATCTGTGCGTCTTCCACCTGCAGCTTCTATTTTTACAGCTGAGCTTCAGGCTATACTGCAGGCCCTGGAGTTCATTCAATCCTCACCTTTTTTTAAAACATATCATCTTTACTGATTCTTTGTCCTCTCTCCAAGCAATAAATAATAAACAACTTGATCACCCATTAGTAGCAGACATTTATCGTATGCTACTATCTTTCGAGAGTATCAGCAAGGATATTGTCCTTTGCTTGCTCCCCAGTCACATGGATATAAAAGGGAATGATCAAGCAGATTTGGCTGCCAAGTCTGCTTTAGATCTTCTCATATACTTTATTTTTTTTATACCTTTCAATGATTTTAAATTTTCTATAAATTCTTTTATATATGACCGCTGGCAACGGTCTTGGGATCTTGCAGACACAAACAAACTTCATCACATTAAACCTCTGATAGGAGACTGGCCAAACTCCTATAGAACCAACAGGAGGGATGAAGTTGTTTTGTGTCGCTCTCGTATTGGTCATACTTTTTTAACTCACATTTTCATTTTGAAGCGAGAGCCGCAACCAGAATGTGTTCACTGTCATGTTCCTTTGACAGTTAAGCACATTTTGATTGAGTGTAATCATCTCAAGAATGTAAGATCAAACTATTACCGTTGCCAGTCACTACATCAATTATTTGCTCAACCGGAGCTGTATGGAAAATTGTTAAACTTTTTAAAAGAGACAAACTTTTATTACAAATTTTAATTGTATATATATATATCCGTATTTTTGTTTTTAATTATTGATATACATAAAGGACTTATATTTATTTATATTTATGTTTAACAACATCGTCTGTGATACTTGTTTTTATTTATGTATATAAATATATTTATGTGATATTGATTTAATTTGTCTCGTCAAAGTCACCATGTGTTTGGCACCATATAGCCCGGTTGGAGCTGACGTGCCATAAAACTCCATTTCATTTCATTTCATTTATTACTATTGGTCCATGACCAATACCCGGGGCACAGCCACGCCCACTTTTTTGTTTTCTTATCTACATGCTGGAATTCTGAATGTATCATCTTGGAACCTGGCATATTTATTCTTCATACCGTAAGGGCAGTAACTATTTATTTTGGTGCATGCCCCGACCCACTTCATTTTTGTTATTAATATTTAATCTGTAAATTTGGCCAAATAACTAAATGGCTGTTTTTCCATAAGTATGTGTTATAGTTTATTGTTCTATCCGTGTATGTGCTTTATTGTAAATGGGGTTCAACTCCGATTAGACTGATGAAGTCGGGCATACGCCATAGAGTTTGCTATAAGAGACATTTCCCCCGGACAGCGGCGCTACGGCCTACTCTAAAATCGACATTAAAAGGACATTTATGGTCCGATACGAACGACTACACGCGTCCGAACTGACAAAAGGAACGCATAACACAAAACCCCGAGGAACGTTCACGACCAACACCGGGATTGAACCCGGATTTGCATCCACCAGTCAAGTTGATCTACGGTTGAACCTTTTCACGTGAGATATCTTTATGAATTAACAAAATTTTCTTTATAATTTTATTTTCGTTTCTATTAAATTAGCAGAAGTAACCCTTGGCAACGCCGTATTGAATAGCACAATGATAATTAAAGTTTTATTACCAACCCTTTATCAATATTGAGTTGTAAAGTAGAAGTACCCCGTGACAACCCAGTATTAATAACACAATGATAATTTAAATTTTATTGCCAACCCTTTCACAATATTTGAAAGAAATATCCCCACACGAGGTGTTAATCTGTTTTCGTTTTCTATTCCAATTCAATAAAACATAATGTAGAAATGTCCTGGCTTTTATTCAATAGTTACAATTTATTCATTTATTTTAAATATTACAGTTCAAGAGATCAAAACATTTCGCCTTTACAAATTCACCAACGCACGTAGACCTACTGTGTGAACCGTGGTAAATAATAAACGGATTTCTTCGATTATGAACAAACTACTATACTTTGGTTATTATAAACTTACCTGTGTGTTTGAAATTACCTCCGGTTATATAAAATCCATTGTACAACTATATGTCCTAGCGAATAAAAAAGTTCTCTCTTGTAAAATTGAACTCCTCGCAAACTTTGACACCGAGAAATAACCAAAAATGGAAGCTAATTACGTCACTTATCGGGATATATCATTTCGTATAGGGGGGTCAAAGCA